AAAGAGATTATGTCATTAAATAAGAGAAAGATTATTTTATTAAAAAAGCATTTTAAGTTTTAGACATTCTGGGTATCTAAAGACGAAGTTATTAAAGATTTCATTTATATTACTCTTCCTTTCATTACATTATTTCTTTTATGTATACGTATTTTACATATCACGTCCTATGAGAAATTGACACCATTTACATATCGATTTATCAGTTTTCTTGGACTTCTAGCAGAAATCTTATAGCTGACACAACCATAAATGAGGAACGATTGTATTAATAATTTTCTGATATTCTTAGGGATTGATGGCAGACTTGGAAACATCGATGGATTCGACATGTGGCCCACTTTGGTATCTGACGAGGTCAGCCAGAGATCTGACATAGTATACAATATCGATGATATTGTCCCTTACGCTGCTATCAGGCGAGGCGATTTTAAATACGTCACAGGTCAAACAGACACCGGCAGTGCTTGGCTCGGAGCTACTGGAGGTCCTTCCGAGGGAATATCTCCGAAATACGATCCTGAGAAGATATTATCCAGCAAAGCCGGCGTTGCTATTTCTGATACTATTACCGGGAAACAAATGACAGGATTAAAAGCATCAAGAAATATGGAAAATATGAACGACGCTGTTTTAAAGAGCAACATCTCTGAAAATGTACTGAGTGTCGATCAAGTTCTCGAGTTACGGAAGATGGCTGAGATAAAATGCAACGTCAGGGAGGAAGACAGGGTCAGTATATCTTAATCACAGAACAAGGAGTGGAATGACTGCAGGAATTCTAAGTTCTAAAGTGGACTTTATTTTTATATCTGATACAAGCTTGAAAGTATTCTAATTTCCCTCTGGCAAACCTCAACTTGCACAGCACGATTTCTTCAGTGGAGATTCGCCAGAGGAGAATCGAGGCAATTTGTTGGCAGTGGAGGACAATAGTCGAAATAGTGGAAAATAATAAGTAGTCAATAATCAATTAGCTTGATTTCTTTTCAGATCCCTTGCGACCCCTTACGAGCAGCATGTCTCTTCAACTTGGAAAAGGACCCTTGCGAAATGGTGAACCTAGCCGACAGAAGGCCAGTGATTCTAGCCATTTTAGGAAAGATTCTATGGAAGTATAGATTGACTGTGATACCTCCTAGCAATCGGAACGGAGATCCCAGGGCGAATCCAGCGCTTTGGAACAATACGTGGACAAGCTGGGACGAGCCTAATCCATTGATGCTCGCTCTTATGGATGACGAAGGCTCTCACGATCAGTCGGAGTCTAAATCAGCGATCGCGGTGATGTCTGTTATTTGCGGGCTTCTTACTATCGGAGTAATGACGCTACTCGCTGTGAAATTTGGCAGGCCTTGCTTGAGAGACAGACAAATTCCGGAACATGAAAATGACCATGGATTGACGTATACTACGGATGGTGAAGAATTTATAAACATGACTAGAATCGTACCAAATAATCAGTAAAGTCACGTTAAAAAAAGAGCTCTACGTTAAACGAGAGATTTTCATCCCTATTTTGACATATTAATTAAGTACGCTGGTGTTAGTTTCATTAAAACGAATATACTTTCACTTAAAATATCTTCATTAAAGTAAAATGAGACACTTTTATCCAGGGTGAGTCACCTAACACTTTCACCTAAAATATCTCCATTATTTTTAATGATAAAAAGAAATATATAAGAGGGGAATCCTTATTTAAACAATTATAAGTCTGATAATTATCTTCCAAATATGAAAAAGTTTTTATACAAATTTCATGATTTTTTTTAGTAACATTATTATTATGTATCATTCGGTTATCAAAGAGATCCGATTTTCCGACCACCCTGATTGAAATTAGTTCGAATTAGTGACCCTCCCCATGTATGACTTAAGATTAGGCGCTCAGTCCCTGGACTATCATCTTGGACTACCTTGAATAATCGAGGTTTTACTATAGTCGTATTTATTTCATATTATCTTGTTCTTTGTTACTTCACACGATACGTGTTCCACGCGATATATTCATTCATTATATCGTTTCAGGATCACATTAATATAATGAGACCTTCTAATAACGAAAGTACCGCTTGCTCGCCAAGTTTGTTGTACTTTCGACTTCAAGTTCATTAAAGAGATCAGAACATTTGTAAATAGTCCACAATATTGTTACAAATAAAAGGTTCACGCTAACGCATTGATAATTAATTATATACCTGTGACAGAAGTGAATATTCGCAATTATTCGTAGACTGCGGATTTTTATGAAAAATAAATTGTTTATTAAAGTTGTACTAAAACAAAGTTGCGTTGTTCTTAATAAAGAATTAATCAACAATTAATCCCTAATTAATGTCTATAATGAAAACACGTTTAGGAATAAATGTTCAGTTTCATAATTTATTTATTCAGCGACTTCATTTCTGTATAAAATTTCGTGGAAATAGGAAGTTCGAATCATGACAGTTGAAACCGAACGAATGATTACCGCACTTCCATTGTGAGGTAATAATCGATATTTCACGCGATCTGTTTTACATTTTAATCTTCCTCCTTCGATGATAATCGTCTAAAAATATTTCGTATCGTCAAACGACTGGCAAGTCGCAGGCGGTTCTTCGCATAAAATAGGATAACTCGCAGTAACTATCAAGAGTAATCATCGGAACAATCAAATACATACACTTCCGTCGAGTATCAACGTCGAATACCCGAGAAATATCTTACACTATTAACAATTTTGCAGCTAATAAAATAAATGAAATATACACAATTTTCTTCTTCATCTTCTCCAAGACATTATTTCGTTTGCAATGTACCTAAGCACAGTGGCTATACAATGAATATAATACAGTTTAGTCATCTCCTCGCACTCTCTTCTATATCGAAGAGGAGCGACTTCCAAGTTAAAGACAGCCTCGAAGAAGTCATTTTTAACTTTTAGCCTGTAGCCACGCGAACGTCAAATTTACAAACATTTCTTGTCTCAGGCTTAAAAGCACGAAGTATTCCCTTTCAGCGCTTTTACCGTTTGCCAACGATAATTTCATTTGCGTTGATTTTACAGTTTCTTGCCATACTGCTCCAACAATATTATTAATAAGGTAGAGTAAGATAGCATCGTGAATAGAGACTGCGGAATTTTATGTAAAACGCTGTTAAGGCCAATCTTGCATAAAATAAAAATGCAATCTTGATAGAAATTTATTTTATTCTTCGGAGATAATAATATAGATTTCAGTTTAGAAGTTGTATTTTATTATATCATAAATTAGAAACATATATGCTATTGCATTTTTCTATACATTTTTTTCACAATTTTTCTATAAACTTTTTTTACAATCTTTTATAAATACATAAAATCCGTAGTCTAATAATGAACGTTAATAAAGACATTCATCACAACAGGATGTTCGCCGATACCGAGGAAATCGTATAAGCTAACACCTGTACACTGTACATCGATGAATATAACATTATCATCGCCATCCTTTTATAAGAGTAGCTCACAATGCCGCGCTTTTTACGCAACATTTCCAATCTGTTCTCGCCTTGTCCGATCTAGACTAATTATACAAATAGTCACGGCAGTTGGCACTTGGCAGGAATGTATCCAAAAGGCAAGGGTAGTGTCCAGAACCCCGTGGCTAGTATTCCATCACATATGTACTACCTTCGGCGTACTGCCGAGACAATACAACATGATATGAAATAAAAATATTTACGACCCTTCGAGATCATTTTGGAGCCTCTATAAAAAAATGCTACAAAATGGTGTTCCCAAAAAACTTGTACTTCAAACTAAATGGGTACAAATTCTACGCTTGGTTCATGTAATAATAGACTGCGGATTTTTAAGCAAAACAGAACTTCTGTAATATCGATTTAAATAATGAAAAGTAAATTAACATTTGGTTTGCCCTTACTCACAATACATATTTATGCAAACCAAATGCAATCTTTATATTTTCTGCAAATCAATTCTATAAATCCATAAAATCCGCAGACTCGCAATAAGTAAAGGACACTTAATACAAGATTGATCTCGGTAGCCCAAAAGGATTAAGAACATGTAATTCGTTTTGTGAATACATACAGAGTGTATAATTTGCATTGACGAGCCTGGCAGCTGCCTCAGGAGGTAAGGTACTTAGGACGTCTTTGTGCGCCAGCAAAGACATTTGCTGCGTGTGCCTTAACTCTCGCTCGTCCCTCAATCGCACGTCTTTCGCGTGGCTCATCGTGTGAAGCTGCGAAAGCCTAAAGGGAAATCTAGCTTGTACAATGAATTAAGGAGCTTACTATGCTACGGACAAACACCCCTCAACACGTTAACACGTTTCTCGTTAAAATTCAATTGAAAAATTATTAATTTGTTACCAAAAACAATTCCCGACCCACTCGGAACGCACACACGGAAAAATGAATTTTTCCTACATATGGATGGATACAGAGGGAAGGAGGGATCGACTTGGGAAGCCTGTTTTTCAGCCAGTGAACTGCTACGTTAAGCAAACTTAGGCGCTACACAAATGCGTAATCGACTTATTAGCACAAATTTCATTTTACCGATTGACAAAATCCTATCTTTTATAAAAACAAAACGAAAATGGAATATGTTCTTAAAATGACTAAACAAACTATTGTCTTAGATTGGTAAAAACATTATCTAAAAGGTTGCCAAATGTTACGGAGGATGATATACTAGAAACAAAATATATATATAGACACTGTTATTCCCTTGATAGAAAATGTTCTCTGTAATTTTTTTAAAACACATACATACATATGTCCAATGAAATAAGTTTGGATAAAAATAGGATAAATGTACCATTTGTGGCCAGTATATTCTTTATTCCAATATATTAAGTATTTTATTATTAGTTTCATTAAAACCGAGTATTAAAGTAACTTGGTACATTTACCCTAGATATAAAAAAGGATCAGACATCTGAATTATTCTAAAAGAAATTTGCAATATCTCAAATATGTCCTTGAATAATATAAATAATTAATAAATCGAAGAAGGAATGCGATACATACTTTAAAGCGAGCCTTTCCTTGTCTTCCCCAATCGGATCGTTAATAGCTTCCTTAGCAATCTCCACCGGCCCCTCAGACTTCGACGGCGAAGGCTGTTCAACGACCGGTTCCCCACCATCAGAGCTCATCGTCGCCTCTTTCTTAGGACTATCCGAACTGCCGCCAGCCTTCCTCAGCTCCTCGTTTACTCGAATCGCATTGGACAAACGTAACTGTAACGTGTCACGTTCCTCCAGCAATTGCATCAATTCGTGCGTCAACTCTTCGCATCTGACGTCTCTTTGATGAAGCATGTACAACGCCAAATCCAATTCTTGTGAATTCGACGATTTACTTTCATCGCTCGACGCTTCTGCGCTTTGAGCCATTGAAGGATCGGCTACTTCCTTCTTCAAAACACTTTGAATCAATTGATACTCGCTCACCTTTTCTTCCAAAAGCGATTTCAACGAATTAATCTCAGTTTCTCTGGCTTCTAAAGTATTCTTCAATTCAGCAAGCTGTTTCTCTTCCTGATTAGACAACATCGAAAGCTCTTCTATACGAGCTTCCTTTTCTTGAATCTGTATTTGTAAATTCTTAAGTTCCACGTCTTTAGTTATGCTCCATTCATTTAAGATTCGTTCCTTTTCAATTAACTCCGACTCAACGCGATTTAACTCTTCATTTCTCTGATGCAATTCATTTTTCGTTGATTGATTAATTGCCACGAATTCTTCTAATTGTTTCTTTAAATTTTCAATATCTCTGTCTCTTAATTGCAACTGATCTAAAATACTACGGTTCTCCTCAGAAAGTTTTTGTTTAATCTCGTCTATTTCTAGTTCCTTCTCCTTCAACTTATTTTGTAAAAATTCCTCTGCCTGTAAGCGCACCTCTTCCTTTTCAATGTTCAACTTCTCTAGAGCGTTCCTAGTTTCCTCAGACAATCTTTCGAACTGTTGTAAACGGAACGTTTCTGCTTCGAGTTTGGAAATACTAGATTTCAATTGTTGAATTTCTTGTTCCTTGTCATATAAATCAGCTGTCAATCTTTGCAACGTTTCACGTAGTTCGAAATCATCTGATTGAGGCTCCATGCTTGAAAGCAGAGACAAGTGAGAATCCTTCTCAGATATTATGTATTTCAGTTCACTGATTTCTTGTTCTTTCGTGTATAAATCGTTTTGGAGCCTGACTATTTGCTCCTGATCTTGAATGGACCTCCGAAATGTTGGATCTTCTCGAGATGAAGTATTTCTGCCTCCCTCTTCTTCTTTCAAAACGAGTTCGTGGCTCTGCATTTGATGTTTCAGATCGTTTATTTCCTGCTCTTTCTCATCGTTTCTCAAATTAGCTAATTCTAAAGAAGATTCTAATTCGGATTTTTCATTGTATAGACAATTGATCCTCTCTTGCATTTTTTGAATCATACTGGGATATGTATTCTCGTTTAGAATGTATTTTAAATGTTCGATTTCTTCTTGTCTTTTTTCTAACTCAGCTTGCATTGTGTCTATTGTCTGCTGCAAACTGTGACTGTTATCAGTCATTCTGAACAATGGCAAACCGTCTATGATATTAGAAGAACTCTGGTCTTGAGCAGAGCTCTGTTGTGACACGCTTGACGTCTGAGCCAATTCGGTTTGTTTTTCATTTAATGCTTGATTGGCATTTTCTAATAGAGACACTTTTTCTTTTAAAGTGCATTTGGTTTCCTCCAGAATTTTACGAGTTTCTTCTAATTCAAAAGTCAAAGTATTTATTTCTTCAGATTTTTTTAGTAATTCGGTTTCTAGCCTTTGGATCTCCATCTCGTTGTTATTCGTAATTATTTTGTATTGGGCAGATTCTTCAGAATATCGTTGCAAGGTTGAATCTTTTTCCATTACGATCGATCTCAAGCTTTGAATTTCTTGTTTCAAGCTTTGAATTTCCTGTTTCAAGCTTTGAATTTCCTGAGTTAAGCTTTGATTTTCCTGTTCTAAGCTTTGAACCTCTTCTGAGAAGCTTTGGTTTGAGTCGATCGATTTTGCCTCGGCTTCATTTAAACGCTTTTGTATCTCTTCGATACTTTGTAAGTATCTGTGATTATCTTCTTTGGTTTTCGATAGCTCTGACTCTCTAGAATTCAACTCTTCTCTTGTGGATATTAAATCTGTTTGAAGAGATTCTAGAATTGATTCTTTTTCTATCAAATTCTGTTTGAGATATTCTAATTCCTGACGTTGGGCTTCGATTTGCATTAGGTTATTCTGTTGTCCTAAGGAATAGTCATTTAAGGTTGATTGCAATGTTATTAATTTTTCTTGGAGGCTTTGGAGTTCTTTTTCCTTTTCTACGTTTTGTGACTGAAGAAATTCTGTTTCTTTAGCATTGAGGGTTTCATTTAAGGATGCTTCTAACTTAAATAATTTCTCTTGGAGGTTTCGTATTTCCTTTTCTTTTTCTTCCATTTCAATCGTGTATTTTTCTACCAATTCTTGAGTAGATCGATTGAGAGTTTCGTTTAGAGTTTCTATTTGTTTTTTCTTCTCACTCAACTCTCGATTCAATCCTTCTACAACCTCTTCTAGTTTTACTTTTGTATCTTCATAGTCCACGTTTACTACATATTGCCTTTGAAGTTCCTGTTTCAAATCAGCTACTTCTTGAATTCTAATATTCAGAAGATCAGTGATTTCTGCCATTGAGGCATTTAGTGAAGATAATTGTTTCTCATAGGAGGCTGTTGATGTTGTTAGTCGTTCTTCTAAGTTTTCTTTTTCTTTCAGAGAATCTTCCAAATTCTTTTGAGACCCAAGAAAATTTGATTCAGAAATCTGAAGTTGTTGACGTAAATCAGTTATTTCTGCTTCTAGCTTACTCGTCTTCTCGAATGTTGCTTCTTTCAAGAAATCAGTATTCTGTCTCATAATCGTTACTTGGTCATTCGCATCCATCAAACTCTGTTCATACTGCTTTCTTAATAAATCGTACTCTTCTTTAGATTTAGATAGCAAGCTTTGTAGCTCTGATATCCTTTTATTCAAATCTTCTACGATTTGAATTGACTCAGCTTCTTCTGCACTTTGTTTCGATGTTAAATTAGATAATTTCATTTTTTGCTCTTCTAAGAAACGTTGCAGTTGTTCGTTTTCAGTCGCTAAGGCTTCCATCTCGTCTTTCAAGTCATCAATTTCTTCTTTATATTTTTGACACAAGCTCTCGTAATCTTCGTCACTGGCGAATCGTTTAGCTCGAGGATGTTGTTGAACAGACATAGTGACCTTTGAGTCTTGTTGAACAAATGTAGTGGCCTTCGAGTCCTCTTTTCCTGCATTTTCTTCAGAATCTTTTTGACTTTCGGATAATCGTTTCTCAAGTGTTTCGACTTTGTCGGTTAGCTCTTTACTTCGAATACGTAGCACTTCCATTTCCATATCCTGCCTCTCCTTCATCTCCATATATCTCTCATTCGCGGCAAGGACAACGTCTAAACGTTTAACCAAAGCCTCTTTCTCAGAAATAATACTCTTTTGTTCTTCCCCAGCTTCGGTTAAGGCTTTCTCTAGTTTACTAATTTGAGATTTTAATTCTTCTTCTATCGCAGAGTCCAATTCGTAAAAATCGCTCGATTTTTGTATTTTCAATTGTTGTTGAAGATTCTCCACTTGTACCTTGTATTCCTTCAATTTTTTAATCATTTTCGCATTTCGCAACTGAGCTGATTTGCTCTCTTCTATCATTCTCTCTCTATCTTTCTCTAGATCCTTTATTTGATCCTGGAGATCGTCGATCGTTGCCCGTAATTGTATTTCCGTATTTGGAAACAAGGCCAGCTGTTCTTCGCCAGTTGGTAGAACGTCCTCTGCGTTCCAGCCCCATGTATCTTCGTCAATGTTCAATTTTTCTGTAGAGTCTGCGGCCCAAGCTGATGCAACGTCACCCAGTGTTTCTTCTTGAACTTTCATAGCTTCCGTGGTTTGTTGTTGTGTTTCTTGCGGCGGAACAGAGTCTTTTGAAGTATCGGTGGTACTGACGGTTTTTTGGGATTCCTTGTAAACGTCCTCTAGGGTTTGGGTGAGATTTGCGATCCGTTCTTTGGTCTCGTCCCTCTCGCGCGAAATTCGACTTGTAGAGTCTTCATGTCCCTCCAGAGATCTTGGTAAGTCATTTACCTAGGGAAAATAATTTTTTGAAACAGTCACCACGACCAAAAAATATGTCATAACTGTTATTAGTGGTCTGCGGATTTTTATGCAAAATAAGACACTTATGTGCAGATAACGTAAAGACTGCAGAACTGAGCAAAATATTGAAAGTAGTCTAAGAAGGTTCTAACCAAACTTATGCTTCATATTACCGAGGCAAAATAGATAAAAAACGTCCATATATACTTATGCCCGAAAATGGTTTGCCCTTACCTGTAGCTGCAGCAGATCCACGGTCTTCATAAGAACAACGATTTGATTTTTCAACTCCTGCGTTGCCCCAGGATCCGTCACATTCTGCAATTCACCTTTCAAGTGATCAATTTGCGATTTGTAAGACTCTACAATCGCAATTTGCTGGTCTCGTTCCAAACTAATCTTCCTTAAAGATTCTTTTATAGAATTCAAAGTCATATTCAGCTCTTCTATTTGAATGTCTTTCCTCATATTATTCTGCTGTTCCATTATCTGCAGACTTAGATTAAGCAGCTCTGTATTCAACCAATCTATATGCGAATCTTCTTGCATCCTGACTTGTTCTAATTCTTCCAAATTCGTCTGAGCAACATGTAACTTCTTCTGCGACATTTCCAATTCCTCAAGGCATTGACTGTAATTTTGAGACATTTGTGTCCTCTCTTCAATCATTAATTTCTGTAAATGATTGATCTCTTGAGTCAAATTAGAACACTGTGCTTCCTTTTCATCCAACAAAGCTTGCATTCGTTTCACTTCTTTATTAGCTAATAAATCGGAATCGGAAGAGGACGGCAGGCCGAAGATTTTCGAAGCATCAAACAACTGTGGAATATTGTCTTGTGGTGTAGCATCAAAAGCAGGAGCTTCTTTCCTTTCTCGTCTTGTACTTTGATTTTGATAGATTTCTAGTTGCATCAACAAGTCTTCGATTCTCCTTTCATAGGCAAGCTTGTCGCTTCTTAGAGTAGAGATTTCTTGTTCCAAGCTTCGTTTGGTGTCTTGTAATAAATTCTCTATGTCCTCTTTCTGTGATTCTGTAGATTTAATGGAGCTTAATTGCTTTTCTTGAAGCTCTTCTCCTGCCTCTCGTTTTAAACTTTCATTTTTATAGACTTCTAATTCCATTGCCAAATCCTCGATTCTTCTTTCACAGGCAAGCTTGTCATTTCTTAGGAATGAAATTTCTTCTTCCAAGCCTCGATTTTCTTCCAATAATTTTTCTACATCTTTTTGTGATTCTATAGATTTAAAGGAGCTTAATTGCGTTTCTTCTCGAGCCACGCTTAGTTGTATCTCTTCCCTTGCTTCTGATTTTGTACTCTGATTCTTATAGGCTTCTAATTCCATCGTCAAATCTTCGATTATTCTATCACAGGCAATTTTATCGTTTCTGAGAGAAGATATTTCTTCTTCCAAGCCTCGTTTGTGTTCCAATAATTTTTCTATATTTTCTTTTTGTGATTCTATACACTGAATAGAATTTAATTGCTCCTTTTGAAGTTCTTCCATTGCCTGTCGCATGTTCAATAGTTCTGCCTCTCGTTTCTGACACGTTGTAATTAAATCAGAGCTTGATACACTCTGTAATCTTTCAGCATTCTGTTCATTTTCTTCCAAACTCTGTTCGGTCGTAGTCACTTTCTCTTCCAACGTGGCATTGGCAAGCTGTAGCTCTTCAACCTTCGCAATTAATTCCTTGTTCTCCTTCAAAGCATCCTCTAATTTCGATTTCACTTCCTCATGACTGGATATCAAGGAATTATATTGGAATAGAAGATCGTTATAAGGATCCTCTAAAGATCTATTTCTACCAGTCTGATTCATCAAATCGTTAAATCGAAGGGATTCTCGCATTTGTACAAAATTCCCGATAGAATTAGCTAATTCGTTGTCTAGGTTCTCGATTTCAGCTTCCCTTTCTTGCAGCTTTGCTTCTAAAGCTTGTACTAAAGTTTGACACTGTTCACAATGGCTACAGCGCTGCGTTTTCATTTCGTCCGTAACTTCTTCCAAAGTTTGCGTCGCTTCCGTCGAAGCTCTGTCCATTCTTTCAAGTAATAATCGTCGTTCTTCAGATTCCTTTTCTACAGTTTCCAGCTTTTCGTTGATTTGAGCTTGTTTTGATAATAGCAACCCATTTTCTGCTTTGAGATTGTTGATTAATGTCAGCTGTTGGAGATACTCCGTTTCCATCACTTGCATTCGTACGCTAAGCTCTCTAGCCTTCTCTGTAACTTCTTCTAACTCTGCTTGCTTCTTTACATTTTCTTCAGCTACCTCTTGTCTATAAGCTTCGAACTTTGAAATTATGTTATTTTTGCTTTCTTTCTCTGAGTTTAAAGCAGCTGTTGAGATTTCGAGGTTCGTACGTAGTTGGACGATCTGTTCTTCCATTTCTGTTATCTGTTGCGTGAAAACTGATATTATTTCTTTAGAATTAGTTAAGTCGTTCGAAAGTCTGTCGATAGTTTTTGATACTTCTATGGAGTCGTTTCTTGATTTTATTAACTTCTCTTCTAAATCGGCTATTCTGTTATCTTTTTCACGCATGAGGATTTCTACTTCTTGAATTTGCTTGTTTTTCGCTTCTTTTTCATCCTTCTCGGTTGTCCATTTCTCTTCCAACTCGGCGACACGAGATTCGAGTTCCTGGCACATTGCTGCTTTCTTCTTTAAGTTCGCAGTTAGTTTCTTCATTCTTTCTAACTGCGCTTGAATTTTATCTTCAGCGTCTTTTAATTTCTGTTCTAAATCAGCAATTTTTCCTTCTAAAGCAATTCTAACTTCTTCCGTTAGATTATTATTAATTAATTTCTCCTTTTCTTCCAATTCGCCTTTCAACACTTCACATTCTTGCATTTTGGCGTTCAATTCCTCTGTTAGATTCTCAAGCTTTTCGTTTTGGAGTTGAACATCTTCGATTTGCTTCGTTTTTAGTAATTCCATTTGTCTGTAACTGTCTTTCAATTCAATTTGCAAATCGTCCACGTACTTTGCATTGGTTTCTATCGTAGTTTGCAGGTCCCATACTCGCTTCTCAGCTTCACTTTTATCATTTTTATACTCAACGATTTGTCCTTCTAAATTATCTTTCGTTTTTATTAAATCGACGAGTTCTTGTTGCTTCTCAACCAACTGATCTTTAATCTCACTATTCTGTTGAGATAGATTTTTTATTTTTTCTATTAAATTAGTGTTTTCTTTTGTAGTCGCGCTGATCTTGCATTCCATTTCGTCGAGAATCATGTCTTTATTCTTCAATTGTTCTAATAAGTCGTTGTAATCTTTCAGAGGCTTTGATTCTTCGACTTTATCAGACAAGTCGGTAATATCTCTTCTTAAAGAATGGATTTCTTCTTCTTTACTCTTGACTAAGTGATTAAGATCTGCCATTTCATTCGACATTGATGTCAATGAGGAATCTCTCTCTTGAATTAATATTTTATAATCATTAAGTTCATCTTGCAACGTATCTATCGCAATCATTTTATTCTGCAATTCAGCGAATTTGTTCTGTAAATCTCGATTCTTTTCTTCGAGTTCTTCCTTCAACGATGAAATCTCGCTTTCCTTTTCAGAAACTACGACAAGATGTGTTTGAAGCTTTGATTCAAACGTCTTCGTCGTCTCTTGCAATTCTTGTTTTAATAAAGAGGCCTCTGTGTCTTTTTCTTTCTTCTCTTGTAATAATATTTCATTTTCATTTTGTAACAATCGAAATCCTTCTTCGATAGAAGTTTTCCCGGCTTCGAGTTTCTCTATTTTTTCTTGCATTTCGTTACACTTAAATTTCCATTCTTCTATCGTGTTGAACATTTCTTTTAACTCATTTTCTAGGCTTTCGATTTTCTTCTCTGACGTCTCGTGCTGGATTTGTTTACTCTTTTCTTCTAATTCTTCTTCTTTGTTCGATAGTTTTAGTTTCATCTCTTCAATCAGGCTTGTTTGCTCGGCTATTAGCTTTTTATGCGATTCTATTTCGCGTTCTAAAGAGGCAACGATCATCAATTCTGTTTGGAGCATCGAAGATTCGTCGGATTGCAATGTTTCATGCGTTTGTTGTTCGGATTTTTGTGATGAGGCGTCAAGCTCTCGTTTTTCTCTAGTAATAATTTCTTTTTCTTTATACAATTTCTCCAATTTTTCGATTAATTTCATTTCTTCCTTGTTTTGGTCATCGACCAACAACTGATCAAGTTTCAAGTGGAGTTCTTCTTTTTCTTGCATTGCCTCAAGTAAATCATTTTCTAATTTCTTATTGAGGATTTCAAATTCTGACAACTTCATTACTAACTCTTCTTTGGCTTTTAATAATTCTTCTAATTGGATTCGAACTTCATCGAGTTGGACATTTTGATCCATTTCATGTCCCTGTTGTAAAGAATTTCGCAGTTCTTTCACTTCTTTTTGCAGAAGGCCTTTTTCTTCTAATAGTAATTCGATTTGTACTTTGAAATCGATTTCTTCTTTCGAAGTTTCAGAAATTTCAGACTTTCTCTCGACAGCAGCTAAGTCTGTCTTGTCTGCAGATAACATTTCAATCTGTTGTTTCAATTTCTTATTCTCTTCTATCAGATTTGTTAATTCAGTTTTAAAATCGATTTCATCCTTCGAAGTTTCAGCATCTTCAGTCGTGTCTGATATTCCAATCTTTAACTTATTATTCTCTTCAATAAGATTCGTTAATTCAATTCTAAGTTTTGATAATTCTGACGACTGATTATCATTTTCTTCTAACAAAGTATCTATTTGTGATTTCAAGCGTTTTTCATCTTGATCATCAGATTTATCCATTTGCTTCAATTCCTCTTCAAGTTTCGCAACTTTCAGCATAAGCTCATTATTTTCTTGAGTAAGGAGTTCGATTTTCGTGACGCTCTCGTTATGTTCTGGGATTCTTTCGAAAGATTCTGTAGAACCTGTATCGGAAGAACCTTTCTCTTCTATTCTATTCAATTTCATAGTCAAATCTGCATTTTCTTGAGTCAATTGATCGATTTTCTTCAACAATTCATTTCTATTAACGTCGTTCATTGATTCTATAGATCCTCCAGCCATCGTATTTTCCTTTTCTACGTACTTATTTAATTTGAGAGTTAATTCGTTGTTCTTTTGAGTCAAATCTTCGATCTTCTTCAGTAAATCTGTTTTGTCTAATTCTTGTATGGCTTCGAATGACTCGGTGGAACCAGTATCGGATGTCCCTTTCTCTTCTAATTTTGATATTCTATTATATAACTCGGTGTTTTCTTGAGTCAAGGCTTGTATTTGTTTGAGGAGCTCTGAGTGATTAGCTGATGGATCTGTCGAGGATTCTGTTTTTATTTCGGGTTGAGATTTGTGTAGGACTTCTAATTGCTCTTCCAGATCAACCACTTTCATCTCTGCGGTTACTCTAAGATTCTCGGATTCAGCGTTCTCTGCTTCCAGCGACGAGATTTCCTGCTTAGCTGTGTGCAATTCTGTAACAGGGATCCGTTACGAAATAACTGACTCCGCTTTTCTGGGATTAGGAATTCTTTTTCTAAGTTTCAGTGAATCGTAATTAGAAGTACAGTAATCTCCGGTTATATGACCACCTGCCATCCCCACTAATTCCTGGAAGCGCTCGCTCCACTGAGCTTCGAATCTTATTTATGTCTATTCTTCTTCTCTTAAAAAATATTGGAGTTACAAGAAAATTGTATAGAACTTTATTTGTATTTCATCTTCTCTCTAACTGGTACAGTCGATACCGTTTACTCTTTCCCATGCTGATGCTGCGGCCTTGAGCGACGAGCGATTCTAGGAAATTCACCATTCCATATATATGGCCAAGCCCAATTCCGATAGTTGACCATACATTCGGAGATTACTGTATGCAAATTAGTAGACAAAAAAAATATTACATAGATTACCTTGCATAAGGTCCAACTTTTGATTCTCTAGAGTGGCAATGGCATCGATTTGCATTTCAATTTCTTTCGTTTGAGCGGAAACTTTACTTTCAAGATCAATAACACGTTCTTGCCAATCTCCTGCTGAGGCTATGCAGATCGTACAACATGCCAATGATGTATGTATAATTGATGTTAATCGACAGTAAATGCAAAAGCAAGCAGCTCAAAATGTTACAGATAAGTCTATATCGATCAAGCTTATATCAACAATTTCTCTTTCTTTTAAATAAAATTATTGATTGTTGTTCAAGGATTAGTTCGCCTTCGGGTTAAGCGTGATTATATCAACTCTGAGTTCGTGTGAATTTAGCAAACGAATTCCTAAATTTAAAGCAAATTTATATTGTTTCATATATTATTTTTCTACCCATTTACTTATTAGTTAATGTGTTAGAGTATTAATTATGCAGTAAAATCTCGATTATCCGAACAAATTGCGGTCAGGATGGGAGGGAAATTGAATTTTTAGGGTAATCGAACATTATTTACTTTTTTATAGTTATTATTTAACTTACTTAAAGATGCTTTAAATGAAGATTTTCGATATTTACAGTGTTTAATGTCTCCAATTCTATTGAATACTGAATCCACAATAGTACATACACAAATAGTACATCTACTGAATCTACTTTATCTAGTCGGGAAATTAGTATTCGGATAATAAAGATTCGGATAATCGATGTTCTACTATATTCCCAATCATTTTAAATAATACCAATATTGTACAAAAATTATAGAGTTACGACCAATTTTCAAAAGTATAACAGAATACCCTTTCAATATTTCATGCAAGAACTACGCTAACAGAAGAAATACATCAAAACGATATATAAAAAAGAAGGTATTTTCTAGCGAATGAAACTACTTCTAGGAATCACAGTGTAGCAAACTTTGACAAGTAAAGTANAAAAATGTGTTTCTTCGAATACATATACGTATCTATATTTACATAAACATTGATCAATTTCTCTGCAACAGGGAAAAAGAGGACTTTAAGGATAATAATCATTTGACAGAGTAAACTATAAAACGGACAATGTACTGCACGTAGAGAGTTTGTAACGAAACTAGAACAATGGAAACAGCGATGACAGAGTGCCTGTCCTGGTTCCTACCTTTAAGCTCGTCAAAGTCTACCAGACTCAGCTGAAGGTTACCTTTCTCCTCCTCTAACAATGCCACTTGATTCCCCAATCTGACAAGTTCCGCATTTGTATCAGACACCTAAATATCATAACAATTAACTAGTATGGTAATGACTATCTTAAACGCTAATGAAAACTGTACGACCTCTTACCTTTTTAAAGTTTTCTAGCTGTTTCTGCAAGCTTTTCACTTTACTCTTATGCTGTGCTTTAATCTTAATCATGCTCTTATTTAAATCTTCCAACTCCTTCGTAAGTCTTGCCACTTTCTCGTCTTCTTCTTTAACGCCACCTTCTTCAGGCAGTTTGGCAGCAATTTCATTCTTCTCCTCTTCAAGTCTGTGCACCAAACTTTCAAGGTCGATCACTTTATTCAAATATTCTTCGTTCTTCGATGTTAAATCGGTCACTTGCTTCTGTAACTCTGCCTTCGACTCCTCTTCAAGAAGTTTATTAGATTGCTTCAATTCTTCGATCAAATTCTCTAGTTCGAGTATTCTGTTATCTTTTTCTATTATTGCACCGTTTCCATGCATCGACGATATATTTACAACTTTATCTTGCAAATCCGCAACGCTTTTTTGTAACTCGTATTTCTCGTCTTGTAACTGTTTGTTACTGGTTTCCAGTTTTTCTAATTTGTACCGCAAATCGTCGACGGATGGATCTTTGACTATCCCGATGCCGGATTCTAACTGGAAAACTCGTTCGTTAGCTTCTGCTAACTTCCGCTCATAATCATTTAACTGTTGAAGCAAATTCTCATTTTTTGTTTTAAGGGACGATTCCATTAGTACGAAATTTTCTTGCATGGATTTCATAGCTTCTTTGGTTTCCACCAAAGCATCCATCGTCGAACGAGAGAAATCAGCGCTTGCTGATTCAGACAATTTCTGCTGATCGATCTGCTTTTCAAATCTAGAGAGAAATTAATAATTAGTGAACACTTTCGAAGAAACTAGAGAAGAAATATGGGGTGTTTCTATGTGGACATAATTTCGGTAGAATTTTCGAGAATAGCTTGAATAAACTGATGAAATTACCGATCAACCGAGTCTTCTAATTCCACTATCTTCTTATCCCTTTCTTGCAGCTGCATTAAGAGATTCTCGTTCTTATTTTTCAACGATTCTTCTAAAAGTATAAAATGTTCTTGCATCGTTCGCATTTCGTCTTTCGTATCCTCGAGAGTATCCAAGGTCGTTTTACCCTTCCTTGAAAGGTCGGCAGACATCAGAGTAACTGCCTTTGTTTTCGATTCTATAACAGAATCTTTTTCTTTCAAGTTTTCTTGAAGGTCTACTATCGTTGCTTCAAGCTCTAACATTTTATTCGTAAGCTCTGCAATTTTATTATCTTTTTCTTGAATGCTTTCAATTTGTACAGGCGCCATGACCTACAATTAAGATATAAATAAATAAATAATAATTAGGAGGACCGGAAAGAAGTATATTATTTTTTATCGTAACATAAAACTAAATTAATAGATTTCTTCTCTCCAGTCCGCCTAATATCTGTTATTAATTACTAGAGGTGTACGAAAACCCGAAAATATTCTACATGATATATATTTTCGTGTGCAGAGATAGAAAGAAAAAAACTTTTGACATTATTTGACATTTATCTTATGCTACGACATGGGTCGGAGGGACCGAAAATTTTTCCTGGGATTGGGACAGATTCGGGATTGTTGAAGATGTTGACATTCTCTAAAACCTTCACTATTCAAGGATCAAAGATCCCAAACGTTTTCAAGAACCCGTCCCTTGCTAATCATCGGGTTCTCCTACTTCTCCACTAATAACATAATAAAAATATTTAATCTTTAGACCGTGTATGAAAAAAAAAAACAATTGATCCGCATCTAGTTATGACATCATAGAAAGACAATCATTATATATTATTACTAAATGCATCACTTCTTTCAAGACCAAAAGGCATGAAATAAACGATTGCATAAAAGGGCTTTGGTAGTCCCTTTAATAAATAAATAAATACCACTACGTTCAAAATACTCATTAATTCTCGAGCTAATATTTCGACTTCCCTGCGGTCTAAAGATTAAAAACAGCAATAAAAAAAGAATACCAACATCAGAAGTGATCATGACTGGCTTAATAGGCAGAACGGATAATTGATCCCTTTGAAAACCGATCGCTGCCACATCTTTTTCCTCCAGTTGCTGCCTAATAGCCTCAACTTTTTCCTCAACTGCCCTCTTAGTTTCAATAATTTCCTTGTTACGCTGTTCAAAGGCCTTCCTATTCTCTGCCAGCTTCTTTTGAAGTAAAGTAGACTTCGCTTTCGGAGTTTTCGCTTGACTGATATCGTCGATATTCAATTCCTCCGATGTACCAGGTACATCCGTTTCGATCAGATGCGTCGCATCCTTCGTGGCCGAGCTTCCCCCTTTACTACGCCGTGACAACTTGGCTCTAGATTTAATTTTCGAAAGCCTCCTCGCGTATTCCTACAATTGAAATTCCACATCAAGCTTGCATCAATATTTGAAAGATCAATTTAACTTACCTGCACCTCTTCTTCTTTCTTCATTAAACTTTGCTTATTCTTTAACATGATTTCTTTGAGGGACTCCAATTGACTTTTATTCTGTTCACACTTCTCCTTCGCATGCACCATTGATTCTGAGGCCTCTCCTTCGATCTCCCCCGGTGGTTCCTCGGACGCACTCGACATCGCGAACTGAAGGATGAACAACAACAAATACCACTTCATTATAATTGATATAAGACGTATACTTTTGTGGGTAAGAACTTATCGAGTCAATGGCAGTGAAAGTTTGTATAAAATGGCCAGACAGTATGTCACCCACTGCTCTCATTTTCATAGGCTAATTGGATGAAAGCTCGCTCGACTGGGGTAAACTAATTGTATTATCTTAGAGTATAGATACTGAAAGTCAGAATGCACGAGGTGGTTACCTTGTGGCATATTTAATGCTTATAGCATTTAAGTAGGAAATTTTTCAATGACATCTTATACAACCATTAGAGGGTGTGTGGAATATGGGAAAGAGGGTAGAGGACATTGAGACGCGTTGGAGAATTCTGATCTGATTTAGAAAGAGGAGAACGCGCTACACAGAATTTAAAATATACAGAAATATTTAATGAACAAAAATTAAATCGCTAAACCATGGAACTTCAAAGATATTGAGAATTGTGTCAATACGTAGATACATCTTCCTTGTTTTCTACAAATACAATTTTTCTCATCGATTGATGATTTCACTATTTTCTGGAGCTCATTTTGAAAAAGAACATAATAATTGTTCCAGTTCAATTTTGAAAAATTTTGTAGTACTAAGTATGTATACAAGGATTTTTTGGGTCACTGGTTGGAAAAAAGTGTTTTAAATAATAGATATGAGCGATATAGAAAAAAGTAGTTATAAAAATCCAAGTTAGTAAAATGCGATTACTTTGAAATGCAAAAAATTCATGCACTAACTTCTGTTTTTCATACATACTTTTTGTTAAATATTCCCAAATTCATAGAATTATTTAAAAAATAAAATACATACTTTATAAATAAATAATTATACTGTATTAAACAAATAAATAGTTGCGTTTATTAAAAAAACTACGTCGTGAAAATAACGAACGAAACAAATGTTAGATATTAACTTCAAACAGTTGAGCTTGCAATAACAATGAGTACATATGGCTGTTCTTTAATAGGATAAAGTTAACCTCAAAACATTTAAGATCGAAAACAGCGAATATAATTAACATAATAAAAGATAGGTAAAATTAAAAAAAATAATTATAAATAATAAAAACTGCATAGTAAAATAGTATTGTTACAACAAATACGTACTTACATGCGTGTAGTTATTAATATTAAAAATATAGACATTCGAGGAACGAACGAATGAATGAATCGATTTTCGCAGACAAATAGAGAATAAATAAAGTGCAAATTTCTATATTTGTCCTACTAGTATTCTTACTATTATGTAAATATTTACTTACTTTTATCTATATTCCCGGAATTGTCAAGATGTGAACACGTCACTGATCGTACACATATTTTACTAAATAACTTTCACTAAACTTGCGTCTGCTTTTTACCAAAGTCGAGCACACTCATATCTATCGATAGGCAACTTTACAATATTTACAATGATATCGTCAATAATTAGATATGAATGTTGTACAAATTGTAATCCTACGCTTCGAAATGTAAAGTCTACATCACTCCCGATATTATCATAGCCGTCTTTCAGGTCCATGCAACAGACATGCGCTAATGATGTCACAGCTACGGATGTCATGTGATCGCAATGCAATCCCGTGTATAATATTCAATCTTTGACGGAAAAATTGGGCATTAAAAGGGACCTGTATGACTCACGTAAATCGAACAAACAATAAGAGTTATTAACAGGCTAGTTTCTACACATCTTAGTAGCTGTAACACGTTCCCGCCGGCGGCCTTTTTTGTAATTCTCGCCGTCTGACGGCTCTTTAATTCATAGTTTGATAGATAATTGTGTATGTATGTACCAGTGGTACATGCCGGCGGGAACGTGTTAATATCTCATGTATAAATCTCGTGCCCGGACGCAATGAAATTGAAATGTGTTATAATAAAGTTCTTTTTATAAAAATCCAAGTTAGTAAAATGCGATTACTTTGAAATGCAAAAAATTCATGCACTAACTTCTGTTTTTCATACATACTTTTTGTTAAATATTCCCAAATTCATAGAATTATTTAAAAAATAAAATACATACTTTATAAATAAATAATTATACTGTATTAAACAAATAAATAGTTGCGTTTATTAAAAAAACTACGTCGTGAAAATAACGAACGAAACAAATGTTAGATATTAACTTCAAACAGTTGAGCTTGCAATAACAATGAGTACATATGGCTGTTCTTTAATAGGATAAAGTTAACCTCAAAACATTTAAGATCGAAAACAGCGAATATAATTAACATAATAAAAGATAGGTAAAATTAAAAAAAATAATTATAAATAATAAAAACTGCATAGTAAAATAGTATTGTTACAACAAATACGTACTTACATGCGTGTAGTTATTAATATTAAAAATATAGACATTCGAGGAACGAACGAATGAATGAATCGATTTTCGCAGACAAATAGAGAATAAATAAAGTGCAAATTTCTATATTTGTCCTACTAGTATTCTTACTATTATGTAAATATTTACTTACTTTTATCTATATTCCCGGAATTGTCAAGATGTGAACACGTCACTGATCGTACACATATTTTACTAAATAACTTTCACTAAACTTGCGTCTGCTTTTTACCAAAGTCGAGCACACTCATATCTATCGATAGGCAACTTTACAATATTTACAATGATATCGTCAATAATTAGATATGAATGTTGTACAAATTGTAATCCTACGCTTCGAAATGTAAAGTCTACATCACTCCCGATATTATCATAGCCGTCTTTCAGGTCCATGCAACAGACATGCGCTAATGATGTCACAGCTACGGATGTCATGTGATCGCAATGCAATCCCGTGTATAATATTCAATCTTTGACGGAAAAATTGGGCATTAAAAGGGACCTGTATGACTCACGTAAATCGAACAAACAATAAGAGTTATTAACAGGCTAGTTTCTACACATCTTAGTAGCTGTAACACGTTCCCGCCGGCGGCCTTTTTTGTAATTCTCGCCGTCTGACGGCTCTTTAATTCATAGTTTGATAGATAATTGTGTATGTATGTACCAGTGGTACATGCCGGCGGGAACGTGTTAATATCTCATGTATAAATCTCGTGCCCGGACGCAATGAAATTGAAATGTGTTATAATAAAGTTCTTTTTAATTCATTCCCTTCGTCCCACAGAATCGAGATTCGAACCTGACAGACGCCAATATCCGGTTTCCGCTTTAGCGCGAACGTGTTTCCAGAGTGTTTCTTTTCGTGTGTAACCTCTATCATGGCGGTGGGTAAAAATAAGGGGCTGTCGAAAGGAGGCAAAAAGGGCTTAAAGAAGAAGATGTAAGTAAATTATAACGTTTCCCCGAAATAATTTAAGCATCGCTTTTGTGAAATATGCAATTTTCTTCTTTGCATCTCCAAAGATGCCTTTCATTGAAATAGATTCTGTCGTGGTTGACATTCGGATAGTTGTATGTATTCCACGTTTTGTCAATTACTTTTATTCATATTTCTTCCTATGAAATATATTTATAATTTGCTCTTTTAAACGTTTAGTGCAGATTAATGTTTTTAATCATTACTGTAGGTTTGTTTTTTATTGAAATATGTTTGCTGTAGTAATCTCGCGTAAATTAGTAGGCTAATGCACATTAAAGTACATTTTATAAAGCAAGTTCTAAGTTGTTATTATTGAAATAACTTATAACTGAAATAACGGAAATAAAATTTATACTCTAACTTAATTTTTTTTATCAATCGCAGCGTCGATCCCTTCACTCGCAAAGATTGGTATGATGTAAAGGCACCGTCTATGTTTACTAATCGTCATGTTGGCAAAACGTTAGTAAACAGAACTCAAGGAACAAGTAAGTTACTTATTTTAAAAAAGTTTTATTCAAACTTTATATGGTGTGCATAGAGAAAAAAAGATACTGCTACGAAATGTTTGTGTAGCTTGACTTTATTTAGGGTATGACGCAGGGTATTTACCCTGATTAATACTTTTAATTAACTTATAACCGTTTCTGTTTTACAGAAATTGCTTCTGAGGGTCTCAAATACAGAGTATTCGAGGTGTCTCTAGCAGATTTGCAAAATGATGGAGACGCAGAGAGGTCTTTCCGTAAATTCAGGCTAATAGCTGAAGATGTACAACATCGTAATGTTCTGACCAATTTTCACGGCATGGATCTCACCACAGACAAGCTGAGGTCCATGGTTAAGAAATGGCAGACTCTGATCGAAGCTAATGTCGATGTAAAAACTACAGACGGCTATCTTCTCAGAGTTTTCTGCATCGGTTTTACTAACAAAGACCAATTGAGTACCAGGAAAACGTGTTACGCTCAGCATGCACAGGTTCGTTTCTCCAATGAATCCTTTAATAGGTACAACAGAATATGCACTAAAATTGTGAATTTAATTACGTCATATGAAGAGGTTACATGCAGCAGATGTACTCGTTTACCAGACTATTTTTGGATTAGAAAATAATGATATAAGACGTCGCGGCATTTTTCAAATACGTAACGAATTGATGGTTCATCTGTGTTGTGTATGTTTAGGTCAAGAAAATCCGACAAAAAATGGTAGACACCATCACGAATGATGTTACCAAGAGTGATTTGAAGGGTGTGGTTAGTAAGCTCTTGCCGGATGCTACTGCCAAAGACATCGAGAAAGCGTCTCAAGGAATTTATCCGCTCCACGATGTGTATATCCGGAAGGTGCGTGAATGAAACTTATTATTCTTCCGTTGTTAATATTTTATATGTTCCTGAACGTGACAAATGCGTTGTGAATATTACAGGTGAAAGTATTAAAGAAACCGCGCTTTGAATTGAGTAAATTATTGGAGCTCCACGGTGACGGTGTGGGCAGTAAGAGCGAGGAAGTAGGTGAAAGCGGCTCGAAGGTTGACAGACCAGAGGGCTATGAACCACCTGTCCAAGAGTCTGTTTAAGATATGAATAAAGATCACGTTAAAGTGTGATTAACGCTTCCATTTTATTCTTTTTATTCAACCTGCTTACTCTTTTCCCAGAGTACGCGGAAAGCACCGTTCATTTTTATAAAGGAGGTACAAATCTAATCCCAGTGAAACTAATGAGACTTGAGTGCCATTACAAAAAATATATGTAATACTTTTCCATAAGATCTAAGCTGTTAAGGCACATCTGAAGCCCAGATTCCCAGCTGTTGTGTCAGGAGTATTTTGACTCCGCGCAGCACACCGGTACCTGAAGCAATAACTCTTGTGGCAAAGGTAGGAACCACCTTTTTTCACTCTGTCCGTGCCATGAGACGGTCCTTTCTGAAAATCCATCTCATACAGTAAACAAACGTTTCGAAACAGAAATAATTAGATGTACATAAATAAGTAAGGTGTTGAGTACAGGATTGTTATCCCTCCCTCGGTTCGTAATGCTCCACCAATCGGCTGTCCATTCCCAAACGTTTCCAACCATATTGTGCAAACCATATTTATTCGGCAGGAATTCTGTAACAGGTGACGTACCTCCATATCCATCTTCTTTGGTATTTTCCTTTGGGAAATCTCCTTGCCATGTATTTGCTCTGTAAGACATAGTAAAAGATTGTACGACCTTTCGTGGAACGTATTACACGTTTTTAAAGAGGTCGCCGCAGCTAACTGGTTAATATCACACAATTCTTATTTGGATCAATTTTTATAAAAACTATTGCTTTCAAAGAAATTGAATTGGTTCCAGTTATCTGCTCCATCCCCCCTGTATACCTAACATACTTTCATTCACCTGTGTTGATTGTTTGGAGTAAATTTGTTACCCCATGGATATAATCTATCTTCAAGCCCACCACGACACGCAACCTCCCATTCAGCTTCTGAAGGCAACCTTTTCCTTAACCATTGACAATAAGCCACAGCGTCGTTCCATGATACATGAACAACGGGATGATTCATTCTATCTGAATTATTCAATTTTATTCTCTACTGTTTTCAATTCACTATTGACTAGCAGTCAATAGAAACAAGACGTACGCTTTAAATCTGAGCCGAGGCCTTCTGGATGAAGCCAGCTAGCATTTTTCACTTGTACCCACCAAGGAGTCTGAGCAACGACCAGCGTTTCATTCTCTTGAACTTCGTTTTCTAATAATCCCTCAAATACGAATGAATCACCGAATTTCTCAGCTTCCGTCTGATAACCCGTTGTATCGACGAACGTCGCGAAATCTTGATTACTCACTTCCATCTTATCTATGTAAAAGCTATTTAAATGTATGTAATGTTTTGGCCCCTCACCATCTGCGACAAGAATCGGATCGTTCGTACCAATTCCGTAAATACCAGCTTCTATCTTTACCATATTTTCTAAACGACTTGAGGTTTTAAACAATTCTTTATAAAGATGTAAGACATCGGTTGAAGGACAATGATTGTCTAATTCTTTTTTATGGACAGTGTTTATCGTTAATTTCCTGTCAATACTGCAGCCGCAATTAGATTTTTTGTCGAAATTACATGTTTCCGAATCTCCCGCGATAGCAACAATTATGCTTGCACAGATGAATGACGTCAATTTAGGTTTAAATATTATTGTTGAGGTTCTCATCTTATACAGAATTTGATTCAAAATTTGCAGGTTAACTGAGAAGATAGCGTTTCGCATGCTCGCGTGCGCAGAATTGCGGTCATCGCTGTGAAGTCATCGGCGCATGTCTTTTAAACGACTACTTACAAAAAATTCCACTAAGTGCCCAATACTGTAATAACATTGGACTCTGCTTACTGCTATTTAAATAGTATTTAAACAAAGAAATATAATAATCTCTAAACATATATCATGACAATCCTTCCTAAAATCGCTGCAATTTTGGTACATTTCGGATTCTAAAATAATCGTTCCTAAACGAAAGTCTATTTGAAATACGTTCTACTTAATCTTATGATTTGTAGAGGTTATGTTGTGAGGTATGTGATTTTGTACTGAGTTGACGGATATAAAAGGAGTCGATTATTGGAGAACGGGTCCACCGAAAATGGCATATTTAACGAGAAAAGAAATTGATGAGATGAAACCGCAAATTGAAAAAGCGGTTCACAAGTTTCTTGGTTTTGGGGAGCCTGCCATCGTTACCACAGCTGTCAATTGTATTACCTCTGGTTATGATAGACGGAAAACAGCCGGTTTGTAATAATTAGTAATATTACTTAGTATGAGAATAGGAATTGAGATGTAAAGAAGGAAACAAATTATATAGTAGTCACTTATCTTTCTTGCTTTTTGGCCTTAAACAGGCTGATGTATTTTGTGATAATATATAATTGCCTCTGTAGATTATGCGTGTATGTATGTTGTATGTATGCATAATGCATTGATAGAGTTCAATGGCATAATGTTATAATATTTTATATCTATAATTGTTTTTCATTTACATATCAGCAATTGTTTCTACAAATTTCCTTTGGCCATAGGAAGAGATCGAGGTTTCGATCTTCAATATGCTTAAAGTTTTATTAAAACCCGTTCATTATTATTACCGAAGTTACCAACAACTGAAGTTTAACAATATTCTTCATTGATGTACGATTTTTAGAAGTTTCACGTTTCAATTTAAAGGAAGGATTATTATCCTACAATAATTTATCTTTTACTAATCGTATTTCAAACTACAGAAAAGCAGTGTACGACACAAATTTCGTGGCACCATAATTTTCTCGTCTACTATATTTTGTTCTCAATCAAATTCTTTTTCCAATCCCTCAGACAAACTATCTGCATTATTAGAAGACAAGAAGGCTTCGAAATTGACCGAGAAAATATTTCAAATCTACGATGACGCTAAAGCAGCGCAGAAAAGTAAGAAACGAAATCACACCGAAGATAAGGAGAAAGAAAAAGATGCCAAAAAGCCCAGGTACAAGGATGACGAAGTCAAAAATGAGAAGACAACCGAAGCCCAACTCTCCACAGATAAGGTATTCATTTATATTTCATATAAAAATATGTATATAATTGCGTGTAAAACTTAATTTCATTTTCTCATTTATTAATTTCAGATCAGGCAAATGATGGCTAACGCCCAAAGAGAAATAGAAGAACGAAAACGAGCGCTAAAAGCCATAAAACAAGAAGAAGTCGCGCCCATAAAGCCCTTACTCAAAGCACGCGACTCTTTGCCGACCGTAGGAAGCATGTACAATCAAGGTTTACTAAGTAAAACCGATTCCGACAAAGCGAGAAAAATCGCAGCTTTGCAAGCCCAAATCCGAAGCAAATTAAGTTCAGGATTGTTGGGCAACGTCAGTGTCCCAGACAAACCGACACCCCTTATTCTTGACGAATCTGGTAGAACAGTAGACATAACAGGCAAAGAAGTTCAACTGACGCAAGTTGTGCCAACGTTGAAAGCAAACATCCGAGCGAAGAAGCGGGAGGAATTTAAAGCTCAGTTACAAGAGTCGAAAGGGCCGGAAGAGATCCAAGATACACATTTCTTTGATACAAGAATAGGTGTGAAGCCTGCGGTGCGAGGTAAGCGTACGCTAAAATTCCACGAGCCAGGAAAATTCCAACAATTAGCGGAGAGAATTCGTATGAAGGCCCAGTTGGAAAAGCTGCAGAATGAAATTAGTCAGATCGCTAGGAAGACCGGTATAAGTTCAGCGACAAAGTTAGCGTTGATCGCGCCGAAAACTGAAGCCCTTAGTGAAGATGTGCCTAATGTCGAGTGGTGGGACTCTGTTATATTGACGGGAGGATATCCGAACAAGGATGAACCTACAACTATTAAGAATTCTACTATTACGAATTTGGTGGAACATCCGACACAGATGCGACCTCCCAGTACGTATTTTTTTGTAAAGAGAAATCATATTTATTTCGATATTTTATGTTCTTTGGACATTGAATACATATTTCATATTCTCTGTTCGTTCCATTCTTCTATGAATGCATAAAATTCGCAGTCCATTGAATTAATTGCATTTATTTTATCAGTTTTCCTTGCGAACCCAATATATAATTTCCATTAATTGTTCTTTATTTCAGCCGATCCCTTGAAGCCGATTTACATGCCTGTATTTTTAACAAAGAAGGAGCGCAAGAAATTGCGTAGACAAAACAGGAGAGAAGCGTGGAAAGAGGAACAAGAGAAAATTCGACTCGGACTTGAACCGCCTCCGGAACCTAAATTACGAATTTCGAATCTTATGAGGGTCTTAGGTACGGAAGCAGTGCAAGATCCCACAAAAATAGAAGCTCACGTTCGGCAACAGATGGCTAAACGATTGAAAGCTCATGAAGACGCTAACGCGGCTCGGAGGCTCACCGCTGATCAACGGCGGGAGAAGAAAGCTAGGAAACTTAAGGAAGACACTACGCTCGGTGTACACGTGGCTGTCTACAGGTAAATGATAAAAATAGTGTAGATAATTTTACCCGCTATTATTTTCCAGAACGAAAGTTTATTAATTTATCAAAGTAAAAAGATGTTCCTGTATATCCAATTTATAATTCAATATGAAAATTCTCATTCTAGAATACGCGACCTCTTAAACAATGCCTCGAAGAAATTCAAAGTAGAAACAAACGCGAAGCAGCTGTACCTCACAGGCTGCGTGATGCTCTTCCGCGATTGCAACGTCGTGGTAGTCGAGGGCGGAGCAAAACAGTTAGGTAAATACAAGCGACTGATGATGCATCGGATAAAATGGGAAGAAGATATAATAAAAGATAACGACGGTAATGACGTGCCGAATAAATGCGTCCTTGTCTGGGAGGGCACCAGTAAGCAGCGACACTTCGGTGAAATTAAGTTCAAAGTCTGCCCGATTGAGAAAATGGCCAGAGAACACTTCAAGAAGCATCAGGTCGAACATTATTGGGATTTAGCTTACAGTGGGGCAGTGCTTGATAACACAGATGATATCCATTCTTAAGAACTCCGTAATTTTAGTAATCACCTCTGAGAGCATAGATAATTTCAATACGTTTTAAATACATTATGGAGGAAATCAGCTGGAATATGTAAATCGCGGAAATAAATGTGCTCCAGGCCTCTGACGATTCGTTTAATATTTTTTTAGTTAGAAAAACCCTGCATCCTGAGTATAAAATAGAATTATCGACTCTATATCTTTGTTTACTAATCGTTTGAGTATTGATCCTTAAAATATCAGTGATTTATGTTCGTTCGTTAATTATGGGATCTAAATATATAAAAATATATAAAATCCCTAAGATGTATATTAAAAATTTGTGGAATTATATGTGAGTTTTCTTAGAATTATGTATTTAATTCTAAGTTTAAACAGAATTATAATGAATTAATAGATGAAATCAATCAATTGTATTCGTAGTTGTTTGTGGTAGAAATATGATACTCATGTTATTATATGATATATTATTTCATTTGATTATAATTTAATCCCTTAATAATAATAATATTGAGACGAACTCGTATAGTGTCGTATAGTGTACAATGGGGATTTATACGATTAGTTTAATTTTTCGGGTTGTCCTCTTTCTGTCTTCCTTATCTTTCTGCATGTTCTCAGTTTTCTTCTTTGTTCTTCCTACATGTATCCTACTCCTACATCGATAATCGCGTAGGATTTTTTTGGGTCTTTTAAAAGGGGTCACCGCGATCCCTCGAAGCACACAACCGATGGCCTCCTGGCAAATAGTCTTCTTCGCACGGGGGCAAGAGTCCCCTTTCGAAGAAGTCGTGACGCAGCGAGGCTATACCGCGGAGTCTGGGGTGCTTGAGGGAGGAAGCAACAACCCCCACCCCCTCGCACCCCGGGCATAAGAATTACATATATCTAGTTTATTATTCATTTAGGTAGTTCATTACTCAATTAGAATTAATTATTTGTTAAATGCTTATATGGCTATATTAGTTAAATGAATCTATTAAGTGAAATGCAATTTATCTTTTAATCGGGGAACATGATTCGATAAACCTTTCGATCTTGATGCAATTTCAATTGTCCACCGCTTGGGAATGAAATGAGAAGGTATTACGTTTTGGAAAAGCTGGCTGTAAATCATGTTAAGCCTCGGGCGAGTTCAATAAGACTTATAGTATCACGTAAAGTTGTTAGAACGAAATATATGAAGGTGTAAGGGACGAAAATAGTTGTATGGTAGGAGGGTAGCGAAATAGCAGCGGAACGACGACCGCAAATGAGAATGGCAGAGGGAACTATGCTGTTCCACGCTTCCCTGGTGACCGATGAGGCCAATTCTGCGGGCCACATTTGTTTCACTCGAACGCATTGCTGCACGTGTACTTTTATGTTAATTGAAAAGAAGAAAATTGGAATACCCCTACATGCTATTTAGGGAGCTAAGGTAGCCATTGGTATACTTTTCTAATATTTATTGATAAATATTTTACCAATTCTACGGACCACATTTGTTCCACTCGAACCCATGAATTTATGCTTATTTTTATGCGAACCGAAAGGAAGAAATTTGGAATTCTCCTTGATGTTATTTAAAGGGCCAAGGTAGTTACTTTTCTAATATTTGTCAATAAATTTTTAACACTTCTTCCTCTGTCTTATACATGAATCGAGCAAAAATAGTGCAAAATCTAGGTTTATAATTGTTCTCCTTATATCAGAAGATTTTGGAGATCAAATTTAAACCCTACGTGGATTAAATATGATTTTGATTTCATTTAGAACAATCTCTTTTGGACGTAAAATTGCTTATAAACAAAGTCATTGTATAAATTCACAATTTTCATTTTCATTAAATTTTAATAACGTTCAGTGAATGATCATTAAGAATAAACTGTTTATTGTACAATATTATTTATATTTTTTCGTTGCTGAAGACAGATATTGAATTCGAGTACTCTTGAAAATCTTATTTCTGACGTTTTCCCGGAAAGCGGTCAACTACTGATACGAGCTCAATTACTGGTGCCTTTACCTTACTTAGAGAAATCGAGTTACCGTCACTAGGAAGGCCATTGATTAAAACTCTCTCCTTCTAAATAGCCCTGAGAAAGCTTACCTAACCGAAACTGTATAAAGCGGATCGGTAAGTTCAGTTCGAAGCTACTCGGTTTTTGTAATTAATATACCCAGGTAAGTTGTCCCGACGCTTCAAGTATCGATCAATGTACTTATTACACCACTACTTCGTTTATCTGTTTCTTATTAAACCGTTCGAGTTGATTGCATTCGAATTGAATTTGTTATCCTTGTTAAAATTTTATGAGAATTAATATTGAAGATTGATCTGAAAGTTGTTTTATATTTATAAGTAGGCTGCGGATGTTTATATAAAATGAACCATTTATAGCGTCAGTTTAAAAGATGGGTTTCATCTTATATTATCATTATTTCTGTTTCTTCTATTTCTGCTTCTCTAAGTAAAATAGCTTCTTTTCCTGTTCTTCTAAATTCTTACCTTCTAATCTATAAGCATTGAGTGTTCATTCCATATTACGTGTTCTCAAGATAATTTAATCCACTGTTCTCGAAATCAATTTTTAACTGTTTTCTTATGAATTCATAAAATCTGCTGTCTATTTATAAGTATCGCATCTCTTTCTCTTTCTCTCTTGCGAAGTATTCAGCATCTGTCTTATTATTAATCAAAAATAAAAATAATATTGTACAATAAACAATTAATTTTTCTGAATGATTTTACTAGCCGAATGAATCTTGACCATCAATAATAAAAACCACAGCCCTCTTTACAATTCGCAGAGACTCATCTTAACAATTGACCTTCCATGCACGCAATTTCATCAGAACCATCAAATTTCCGTCCCCGTCCTCCGCTGACCAGTTTCCACGCAGATCGATGCGACAAGCCAAAACTTTATCTGGCTCGGCGCGAAGTCGTTAATCCTTCGACGAAACGCAAGACAGACAGGATTAAAACCAAAAATTACCAATTTACGTCTCATTCCATCTAACGGGCCAGCCGAAAAAGCTTTCCCATCGAATTTCATTCGTAATTTATCTCGATAACCGGGTTTTTTCGTCGCCCGGGACTTTTCGTACCGGCGCTACACTATACATCGACGTGCCGCTGCGTTCATCGTCGCACATCTACAGAATTTTCGTAGGGACCCACATCGACGTGCCATCACATCTATAGAGGACGTGGATTTGCGAACAGCTCGACGTACCACTGTGCACCCCCGCCGCACATCTACAGAGGACGTGGATTTGCGAGCAGCGCCGGTAATATTCAGTCAGTACGTATTGGGACAGTCGTGTTTCTTCCGTAAATTTAACGATTTTAGCAGACGTACCCGCGCCGCGCCGCGTCGTGAAATGATCTACGGCTCGCTCGTATGACTCGGCAGCTAATGCTTTAATATGCGCAAAGGGTGCCATGCCCGTGTCACGCGGATTACCGCTAATTGTAGTTTATGCTTTATACTACGCTATTCTCTTGTACCCTCTGTCGTCCGTTGGGTGTTCGATATATGTACATATGTATGTATGTATGTATGTATTTACGGATGGGTCTCACGTGTACGGTTCTGTGTATAGATAAGTGCCTCCCTATGGGTACGGCAATTTCTATGTATGACAATTTCTATTTGCGAAAACCGACTCGATTTATGACGGATGCGACAATTTCTATATATGACGATTCTAAACATTTTCTAATTATTCGAGAGTCTAATAATTTTCTCTTTGCACGAATTGCAACTTCTACTAGTAATGACTTGCTGAAAGAGGTCTTAATTGATACGTAGAAGGAGAATACCGCTCGCCTTGATGACATGCTTGATAGTGTCAAACTGAACTTACCCTTTACCTGTATCGTTAATCTTCTAGTCGCCTCGTGCCATTCCTGCCATTTTAAAAGAACTAAACCTAGACGCGTATGTCAGAAAATATCTATTTTTTTCTTTGATACTACAATTGATTATTATTTCATTAATTTATTTTTAATTCATAATTAAATTAATATCCATTTAATGCAATTAAATTACTGAATCTAACGTAAAATTTGAAGAATGCTGTTCATTTGAATA